TTTTTGGACATTTGTTCACAAAGTAAAAGACATTTTCCAAACTGAAAAGAAAAAAAACTTGCAAATATCACGTGTTTCAGAGTGTAAGTATTGTTTTGTCTGGTAATGTATTTCTAAAGCTAATATGTTAAGGGTTAAGGAATAGTTTCATGTCCTTGTTTTTAATTAAAGTTTAATGAAAACAACTCACAGTGTTTCCATTATTATAGCCACAGATGAGCCTATGACTGTAAATATCAATGTATGATTTCAAATAAGAAATGAAGAAAAGTGTTTATCTATGTATCATTTTATGTAATATATAAAGAGAGTTGAATAATGAAACATCCATTAGGCACAAAATTACTTATGTAATCAGTACTTACTGAGTAAATAATACTTACTCAGTATTTACTTAGCAGGATTCTTAAAATTACTTACAGTACAATTTACACCTCTTTCCCTGTAAAATACCTGGAAGTTAGACGAGATTAAGTGACTCCAAAATACACCCCGCACCCCAGAAAGTACAGGGGACGGTGTAATTGTAAAAAATAAAAAAAAATCTGCAAAAACCTGACTTGTTGGATGCAAACTGCACGTAATTACAGGGCACTTACACCTTATTCACTTCATAATAAGGCCTGGGCCTTATTATACATTAGACTACCTCCTGAAATATTACAATTATCTTACCATCATTCAGGAATTCGTTGGATATGCCATCAAAGTTTCCACACAGTCCACATGTCTGAGTCCAATATTTCTCATCTATTTCAATCTGTGAAGATAATCAATTACACAACAGGTAACTGGCAAAATCACAAGACAGGACAATATTAATTGAACTCCAATATATGGCATTCTTTCCTTGTGATCCATTAAAAGGTTAAAGTAGGACATTCACATGACAATTTGTCTGCATTCTGAGATCACAGCAGGATCTAAACAATGATTTGTGACCTCAAAAGATTCAGAAAGCTGGTATAAAATCTAAAACGAGAACAAACAGCTTGTAGAACTAAGGGTCATATATAGATGAGATCGGAAGCAGCATATTTGGAGGCGACGTCCCTCAAATCCTGATAATTTATCTCCAATAAACAGTCAGTCAGATAATTTATTTTTGTAAGTGAGAGAAGGCTTCATACGTCAAGGGAGTCGTCCAGGTTCCAGACTGCCTTTATTCCCAGATTAGCTTCAACAGAGATACTAGATGTGGTCCCCTTGACAGTCACTCCTGATTTACTGAATGGAAGAGATTCCCTGGTGCAAACAAAGAGGGATATTTTAAAAATGAGTGTAAAAATTAAAACAAATTCACATTACTGCTGCTCTTTAGTCATACAAATCAGTCATTAACAGGCCAGACAGACCCCTGACCCCAATGCCACAGAATATTACTAGGGCTTTGTTTGAGCATTTGAAAGGACGAGATAGTGTCCTGTGGAGGATATTGTAGATTTCCAGGTTGCAGCGGATGCTTACATTTAGGTTGAGTGCTGCTGTCATTAAAGCAGAATAAATCTCATATTAAGATGGTACAATGCTGAAAATGTAAACAGATACGATTGGACCTACGTTTGATATTGGATTCTGACTCCTGCACCCCCCTCAATATATAGTAGTTAAAGTTACTGAAATATTCTTGGAAAAATGTCGGTATAGTTGATCTTTCCCGAACTTACATCTTGCCATTGACAAGCACTGCGTTGTTAGAGAGCTCCACCTCAGATCCTTCCAGCATCATGATGATTTTGCTGATTGTGGGGATGTTGTTGACTAAGCGCCGCCGCATCTGGATATTAAAGTTTTCATAGCTGCCCTTGCATTGTATTGCAAGGACATGGTTACAACTTGAATTCAGCTGGAAGAAATCGCCATCGAAGGTTTTGAAGTGATAGTGTCCCCAAGTTGTGCACACTCGGCCAATGTGGGATGCATTAGCTGTAAAATTAATAAATTAATCAATTACAAATTCTTTTTGAGAAATCGTTTTAAATTTACTGAAGAAAAAATAATCATATTGGACATTTACAAACTTACCTGAAGTCATGGTCAGTATGTTTGTAGAAGGAGCAGTGGTCACTGTAGTAAAGGCAAAAAAAGGTATTTATTATTGTAGGAAATATTAGAAATTTCATAGGATAATAGTATCAACTGACAATTCACTGATATTAAACTCAATAATATGCTCAAACTGAAGATTGCCAAGACAGTTAACTGTTGCAGATATCCCAGATCCGTATGTACTCCAGAAATGGCTTCAGTAGATTTAACCAAGATTGTCTGCAGCAAACTGCATTACAGTTTCTAATTAATATGCCTTAATTAGCTGAAGTGTTGAAGCTATGAAATAAATTCTATATAAACCAACCCAAGCATGACATAATGTAAATTTACATCATCAATCGGGATTCACATGAATGATTAAAGTAAATATGACTCTCGGTCCTCTTCCCAATATCTTATAGCACATCCATTGAGTGTGAGATTATAATATTTCCAGCACATCATTTACCATTCTGAGTAAGTGAGTCGACTATCAGCGTCAGATAGATGAGCCATGATATCAATTCAAGCCCTTTGGCCCCCATGTTGGTCAGGAGGACTAACACCACAGACGATAGGATTCACCTGGGGAACAAGCTCCTTTATAATGCGCCTCTGAAGGTGGAGCTACATTGCATCATATTTCATATTGAAGCAAATCATCGAGTGTGTTTACTCAGCAAACATCATCCCCACCACCACACCAAGCAGCTTCTTCACTCTATATACTTCCAACTAGCTATATAACAACAGGAGGTTCTGATGTCTTGATGCATCTCAATCATCCAGGAAAATAAATCTCCAAAAGTTGATTCTGTTCATCTGGATGTAGCTTTTTCTGGGAGAAATCCAAGTGACTTCTTCAGTCTTGGATGAGTGACGAAACGTTTCTCCCAGAAAAAGCTACGTCCAGATGAACAGAATCAACTTTTGGACAGGAGGTTCTGATGTTTACAGTCCAGCATTGCTTGACCCTCAGTGCACTAAGACATGAACCAGCCAGAAAACAGAGGGGAAACCCAATTGGTCTAACGGTTTAAATAGTTTATCTGTGCTATTTGGTTAACAACTAAAATAATTATCTGGTATTGAAAAAGTCCTGACATGAAACAAGTTAAACTAAGCTTAGCAACACCTGGAATACAATACTGATCTATGCTTTGCTCCCAACATTAACCCAATCACCCAAACATCTAACACAGAATATCTAAACTGCATAATGCAGATGCACCTGCTTTAGAAGTAGTAGCATTCTCGCTAATACAGCTGTTTTTGTCTGTAGATAAGAACATTTAATTACTGGTGCCATACATTTTGGCATCATATACAGCTCAGTCCATATCTTTCAAAAATGACTCATTTCAGTCATTTTTGTCTCTGGACACCACCAAGAATTTGAATCAGACAATAAAGCTACGACTAAAGTACAGACCTTAAATCAAGTGAAGGTTGTTCGAGAATTATTTGGACAGATAAAATCAAGGGAAGAGAAAACTATGGAAAAGAAAAAGCACAGCTTATAATCTTAAATATACCACATCAGTTTTCAAACATAGTGAAGGTCAAATTAAGGCACAGACATGTGGAACTGCATCATTGGTCTCTGTTGATGATTTGAGTGCTGTTAGAAGTAGGAGGGTGAAATCTCCGCTCAGATTCAGCCAAATGCTCCAAGACCGATTGGGCAGCGCTTCATAGTGCAAGATAGGTGTCCAACATTTATTCCAAAAGTAACCCAAACGTTCTTAAAGCAAATAAATAAGATATACTTCAACAGAAGATGCAGAGATGAGTTCTTTATGGTACTTTCTGCACTAGTGTGTGCAAGTAAACATTTAGCCCAGCTAACAGGGGAAGATAAAGGTAAGTCCTTCACTAGTAATGAAAGCTAGAAGACTACACCACATTTTTGCTTTATGATAAATCGGTACACAGTTTTGTCATGGATACACAACATGTCAACTGACCCCTGGACAGCTGGTTGTCCACATGCTGTCTGATTCATGATTTGAATCATCCTATATGGAGGTCCATCTGTCGCAAACAGGTTATAAAACAACAGTACACAGATCAAAAATTGAGTTTTCTTTCAAGAAAACACTTAACAGTCAAATGTAATGGTTGCTGATTTTATAGTCAAAATGTTATTTTTCACATTTTTACAGTGTTGAGGGCAGCAGTTTAGATCAGTGATGCTGTTCGCTTTTTACCGGCTGGGGCTTGGAGTGCTGTTCTGATGGCTCATGTAATATCTGCTTAGATGATGTTCATGTCAACTGGTTAAATCCACAGATAGCAGTGAACCTCATAGCAGCAGTAGCATCAGTCACCTGATCACATGCTGAAATAAATCTGCAGCAGCAGTAATACATTGTAAGAAGGGATTTCTCAGGTGGAGGAATATCTGGTGTCGAGCTGCAGCAGAGGTCACTTTGAAATAAGCCAAAATTTATTCATTTTATATTTTTGCTGTCAACCTCATTAAATAATGTTTTAATGACACTGGAAGTTTTAATAGCCTATTAAGCCTGCTGAATTTTACCAGGAGATTTTAAATAAACTTTATCAGCCACATGTTTCTGAATAACAACTTTTTATGGTAGTAAATAATAGCAAACCTTACTATGTTGCACTTTCAGTGATTTTTTATCAGTGGGTTTTTCAGTTTGCATGATACTGCAATATCTAGCGGTCCACACCCCTCACTTAGAAAAAAGGTAGCACAATATGGCACATTGTTCAGGTGTAAACATGACGAGTGTTGCTTTAAGGAGGAGAAGGATTTTGGACTTAATGTGGGAACCCTGTGTAAATAAGTGACAGTGACTCAGCTAACCCAGTCCAGGATATGCATCCTGTGCTCTATTTTTAATAAA